GCTCCAGAGCTGAGCATGATCTCAAACTGTGTGATCGATGAAATTTTCAATCAACATGCTCATCGGATTAAGCAGCGGAACCACGCAATCCTCAACCCATATCAACTAGAAATCTACGCAGATGCGATTCATACTAAAGGAGCCGGCCTAAATAACTGTTTTGGATTTGTAGACGGGACTGTCAGAGCAATATCCAGACCAATCGAGAACCAGGAAATTGTTTACAATGGACACAAAAGGATTCACGCCTTGAAATTCCAGTCTGTAACGCTGCCGAATGGGCTTATAGCCAACATGTATGGACCTGTAGGTAAGTCACACAAGTCAAGTGGAAAAAATACGTTCTGTAGGAGCTTCTTTCAGTTAAGAAGTTGATCCATTCGGTATGGACAGAAACTCATTAGTTTCTGGTATGGATCAATACCAGCTATGACATTTGCAAACCTTTTAAGTTTTAAGCTTAAAAGCTTACAATATTTGGTAAAGAGGAAAAAAGTTGATTATTAGAATGATAACAAATGAAACGCTTAACGGTGTACTTCCATTCAATAATCATAATCATCCTTTTTCCCTTGTAAAACTAAAGCAAATATATTATTATTTTGACTTTTGCAAATGCAACGAGTTCTTTGATGAAAGACGTTCTGCCGCTTTTTATCCTGCCTCTCAACAAAGAGCACCAATTAAGATCAGGGAAAGGAGGTCAGGAAGTGCATGATCACACAAACTGTATATATTTTTTGTCCTCATTCCAGAGGGTAAGCGACATGATGCTTGGATGCTTGGAGAGTCTCACCTGCTTAATGACCTTGAAAGATTTGCATTTTCCACAGGCGGACAACCTATGTGCATATATGGTGATCCAGTGTACCCTGTGCGGGTCACTTGCAGTCACCTTATAAAGGGAACAGGCTTATGCCTGCCATGGAGGCCTTTAATGAATCAATGAGCAAAGTAAGAACATCAGTGGAGTGGGTTTTTGGTGACATTGTAAGGTCATTTAAATTCATGGATTTTAAAAACAACTTGAAAATAGGGTTGAGCCAAATTGGTAAGATGTATCTTGTTTGTGCCTTAATCCAAAATGCTATCACATGCATGTATGGAAATCAAACATCTAATTATTTTGATCTGAATCCACCAACAGTGCATGAATATTTTAACTAATTTTTATCTTTCTCTGTTTGTACCTAATATATTTACTACAGAAGTTTTCATATGGCTGTAGCTTTCTATGACACCTAGAACCATGAAATTCTTTGCTAATGGACAATAAAATTACACTCAAAAAATATGTCCAAGAGTTCTTAAATGACAGAGATAAAATGAAGAAGATGCAGCAGAATAAGAATTATACTTCAAAGAGCTTAAAAACAGAAGGTTTTGGTGAAAAGACAAGAGAAAATAGGAACATGCCAAGGAGTTTGTACCTTTCAACAATGGTCACAAAATACCCAATAAAACTGTTCTATCAATACTTATCCTATATTGTAGTTTGTGAACTTTGGTTTGTCAGTGTTTACTGGTAGGTAGAAAATCATTTTCATGCTGAATTTGCAACAAAATCGTAAAAATGCACTTGACAACGTCCCCAACTAAGTGACATTTTTAATTTACCAAAGGTTACTTTTTTTCAATTTAATCCAACTGGTTCAGTAATACTAAAACAAATATCCCCCTCAGGATCGATGAACAGCGCTAGATATATACCTCGACGCTTCGGGTCTGGGTATATCCACCACTATTCACCTCCCCTTCGGGGGATAGTTGTATAATATTACAAGTCTGTACAATTTTGCATGTAGCATTACAGACAGATTGACCACAGCATTACAGTTAGGTTGTAGTGTTGCAGACAGCTTGACCTTGATGTGTAGTGAGAACATCACAATACCGCTGCATCTTTAAAGCCAGATTTTGTCATTGACATAATGCTTAATAAAGGCAAAACAGAAGGCTCCCAAATCAAGATTTTTCATCTCAATATATCATCTTAAATGTGATAATAAATATTTAATGTAGGAATTCCAAATGACAACAAAAGTCTGGAACAAAAGTACAAAAATGATTATAAAAGCCCTCTGTATCAATCAATCAATCAACAGGAAAGAACCAACAGAGTCCTTTTAGCTCTTTGACGCAAATTTCTCTAGCAAAGTTATCATTATTTGGTTCTGTTGAGAAAGCATCATTTGAAGCTGTTGTTGTTGTTGCTGCTGTTGCTGTTGCATAAGCAGCAGCAACCCTTCATGATGCTTTCGTTCTTCCTCTTGTTTTCTTTGTTGTAGCTCAAACTCTCTCTCCTTAATTGACGCCTCTCTTTCACTTTTTTCGCGTAGATACTGTACTGTTTCTGAGCCAGATCGCCTCCTTTTGGGCTCTACTTCAGACCCATCATTCTTTCTTCTTTTCGTTTCAGACAGTTTTTCCATTGCCTTACTCCTTGCCTCCTCCCCCTTTGCCTTGTCTAGTTCCTGCTTCTTTCTATCTGCATCCCCTATTTTAAAATAAGTTATTTGTGGAATTATTTTTAAAGAAAAGAAACAATAATGATAACAATTTTACTTGCAAATTGTGAGTTAAGTCAAGATGGCCTGACAAATACTGAATACGTGCTTTAGCTTTAAAAAAAGAAGGTTGGGCTGAGTTTGGTGGTTGTGATGGTGATTGTGATGAGAATGAACACAATAATGACTGATATAATGAGAATGAAGAAATCCATACCAGTGGGAGCCAGTAAAGATAAAGTTGATCATGGTGATGCAGATAGCAGGACTCAGGAGGACTTGTTACTATACACAAGTACTGCATGCAACTAATGGTTCTAACTTAATTCACTTTGGGCGCTTTCCATTTAGGAAAAAAACCCGGAAATTTCGGTAGGAGCAAAAGTGGAATTTCTGATTGGTAAAAAGTTGTTCCATTTGGTCTTAAACCCCGGTACGTCGCGGTGCCCGACCGTGGACCTGGAACTGGTACAAACTACGAGAAACGTAAATGGAACACGACATTCCGTTCGGAAATTCCAACCGGGAAAACGGGACCACCTTTTTAGATTTTCCACTTTTTCTGGGAATTTTCCAGTGGGACGAACCGACGAAACGTGTTCCATTTACCGCCAAACCAGAAATTCCGGAAATTGTGACTAAATGGAAAGCGCCCTTTGTCTCTTGTAATGTTACAAATCCTCAAGATTCAAAAGATTTGCCACCCCCCTTCTTAATGCCTACAGCAACTTTTTTTAACATACCTCCCATTTTCATTACAAAAGATCCCCTTAAATTTGCCTTTCCTCCCCTGTGGTGTACATCATGAAACTAAGTCTACGTCATCACAGAAGATTCGTCTTAATTATGGAAGAATATATATTTTTCAGAGTAAACCTCCTTGGTTTCAAGTGATTTTACCTTCACTTTCTCGTCGCTGTTCGTAACTTTTCTCCTTTTCCACAACGTCCTCTAATAGTTTGTCCATCTCTGAAATTTCAGGACTAGTACCACTTTCTCTTCTCTCTGTGGCCATTCTTCTTTTGTGTTTGGTGATAATCAACAACAGTCTGTCTTGGACAGATCTTTTAGTGAGTGTTACCTTGAACTTTGGACGGCTCAGGGACACCAGCTCATCAGCTATCTTCTGCCAAATTGCGGCTCGCTGAACGGTTTTCTTTCGGGCCAGGAAGGGATTCTGAACCAGCACCTCCTTGCATAAAGCCACATCGTGGCTTTCAGTCCATTCCATAGGGGAATCTCTTTTTTGCAAACAAAAGCAAGGCAAATTAATTACTTTGAGCTGGAGCTCCATTCAAACAAACAGGATAAACATGTACAAGTTAACCATTGAAATGTTTGACCACATATTTGCATGCACAATAATCACAGCTGGACAAAAAAAGATGTTTGTAACTTCTTTGAACTATGAAAGCAAAAAGCGGTGGTCGGCAAAGAAGTGTATTTTTGCCGAGTGAACGATGTAAACAACTCGCACCTGAGTCCGAAAGAAGTTGTTGTTAGGAACTACATGTTTTGCTCCTCAAAAATATACTCTTTTGGAGTAAAAAACAATGTCGAAAATGAAAACATGCAAGATAAGAATCCTCTCCGGTTCAGAAAAGAAAATTAAGGACACACCGATTACTTACATAGCATGTTCTTCTTTTCCTGAGTCCATGGCGTCGGTGACAACCAGCACGGACGGCAAGCGCGGGGTTTTCAGGTCGGTGACGACAAGTCACGGACGGCAAGACATGCGCAGTAAGTACGAAACGCAAGTTTGGACTTCCGGTTGACGTTCGTGACTCAAAAACGCCTGGTGCTTAAGCTCCCTATTTTTAAGTCACAGGTGTCTTCATGACCAAATAAAGACATGACACACAGTATTTGGACTAATCTATGTCAATATAAGGGCATAATCCCAACAAGTTATATAAATCGATGTACTAAATACTACGTAAAAATAGCTCGTGGCGTTATCTTAATGAGATTCAACCGCATTTTATTCACGAGACAGAGAGAAAATTATTTATTCCACTTCATTTTAATGAGATTACACTACAAAAAAGCGGCCTAACCTGTGCACCCTATACTATTCTCCTTAAAAATGTAAAAAAAAAAAAAAACAGTTAAGAACGGCAGAGACAAACACTTTTAGGGAGGTGGAGTAGGTTTAGGAGGTTTTAGGGAGGTGTCCGTTACACGTGTAAGAGAGAGGGGGGAATGGATGTTAACTATTAAATTGCTTAGTGACGGGCCACGCGCATATACTGCAAAAATGTCCACTCTAAAAATAATAAAACAGAAAAAGGCACTTACCAGCTTAGGGTTTTCCCGAAGGTGTTGAACAATAGTTCGGCGTAACTCATCATGGGAGATATTTATTCCTTTGATAAGGTCAAGCTGTTCTGAAAGTGCAAAAAACATGCAGTTTCCCCCTCCTTTATTGTCAGAAATTGCAAAACCTTTTTCCAACGCAGCCCTCTTCAAAGCCTGCGACAGCTTAGTTTCGCTGGACTCTATGCGTGCTTCCCGTATGATTTGTTGAAGTACAATAAAAAAGGGTTCGCCTGTAAACGGAAGATGAAAAAAAACTTAACATAAGATGGAGGTTATTTCATGCCAGTTTAATACGAGGTGGTGCACTGGTATGAAGCTCAAAACAGCAGACAATTTAATTAAAAATTACTGTGGTCTCCAAAGAACTAAATAACCTCACTCTACTGCAAAAATATATTTTGGCCTTGGTTTGATTGACGAAGCAAACAAAGACATTACCTGCCATCGGTTCTGTTGCAGCATCCTTTTCACAGTCATTCTGTGGAACGTCATCTTCTTGGTTTTTCTCAACACCTGTAAAGTTTAAAATTTGCAGTGAATTTAAATGGTTTGGCCTGTAAGCAGGAGAGGGAAACAGTTAGTTTACGTCAGTTTACTTGGAGATGCACCCCAATAATTGAAAGTACCCTGGTTCAACGGAAGAAAATAACCTCACTCCGCTGCGAAAATAAATTTTGTCTTTGGTTCAACTGAGAAAGCAAACAATAACATTACCTACTATCGGTTCTGTTGAAGTGTCCTTTTCACAGTCGTTCCGTGGAACGTCATCGTCTTTGGTTTTTCCATTTCCTGTAAAGTTAAAAAAGCGATGATTTACAGAAAAAAAATGTCACTCTCAAAAAAAAAAAAACGATTTCAACCTCAGAAGTCCCCCTTTCATTTTTTGTGACAAAATATAAGCGGAAAGTTTAGCTAGTCTTTTTTTGCTACGTTCTTTTTATATACAAGAGAACAGCACCATTGCTACTGCATATGAATAGAAATCAAATGACTTTGGTGTATCGCAATGTTATGGATTTTAATTTTCATGTATCGCTAACTCCTTTAAGTGTAGCCAACATGTTATAAGATTATAAATATAAGTCTCAAAAATGAAATTGATCAGTAACACAAGAAGTGTACGGAGAACGGTGTGCAGAATGTGAATGCCACCATTAAGGTTAAAGAGGTCAGTTAGTAATATTTCTTCAGCGATGCACATGGACCACGATACATAATATAGTAAAAATATATTTATGCACTTGCTATTGCAGAAGCAATGGACATATACAATTTGATTTCTTACCATAGACCATTTTCCACATCCTGTCAACAAGGGCTTGGCACTGTCCCTCCCAACTGAATCTTTCATCATAACTTCTTCGCAGTCTTTGGATTTCCTCCAGCCGCTGTGTCCTTGATTTTTGACGGATGGCTGCAATTGCTTTTGCCCATTCTTTAGGGTCATCAGAGTCGATCACAAATGACTCACCCATTGGAAGTTTACGCAGTGTTTTTCCAAATCCGGAGTTTCCACTAACCAGAATGGGAAGACCAGCTGACATGGCCTCCAATGCTGTCAAACCAAACCCCTCAGTTCTTGATGGCATGATGGCCACATCGACAGCACAAAACAATTCTCTCAGTTTTTGTTTGTCTGTCACAAATGATTTCACAATCAGCTGGTTCTTTGAAATGCTAGTCTGGAGTAAGTTTTCTGCGACTTTATCCTGCCTTCCCTTGGATGCACCAACGAAAATCAGAATGTAGGAACTGTCCTTCAATTCAACTATGGATTTAGCGGCAATGTCGTATCCTTTAACACTAAAGTCTTCTAAATCATCGCGACCGAAGCTCAATACTCTGAAATTTACACCATCATGTGCAGCATGTTTAATATCTGAAAACTCTGCAAAGGAACCTGGTATTAGTTGAAAGATATCTTGATGATATAAACGCAACTTGCACGAGAACGCTTCTTTTAACTTAGGTCCAACGGCTACAACGAGGTCTGCATTTTGACAAAGTTCAACTTCAGCTGTGTTCTTCTCTTCTCCCTTGGCAATGGCACTTGGATAGTTCTTATACATCGCAAGCTCTTCAGGCTCAGTGTGAACAACCTGCACCCAATTGCATTGATGAGATTTTCTGATAACTTGCGCTTGTTTGCCAAGCTTTGCTCCATGGCCGATCACAACCTGAATGTCAAGGTCCTCTGGTGGAACGATCAACCAATCAAGAGGATCACTGAAGCCAGGAAGATGCCCTGCTTCTATGATGGAGATGTTGTAACTTTTAGCCTCTCTCTTGTCTTTTTCTCCACACTCAAATTCAGGTACAAGAATGGTCACTTCTACGTGTGGGTCTTTTGCCAAATGTATGGCAAGAGTTCTGTTTATTGTTGACAAACCACCCCTAGACGACCCCCATTCGTTCGCCAGGAGAGTAACTTTCATTGTTAAAATCTAATAATGACACACACAAACTTTGTTGAAGCTTTTTAAGTATAAATAAATGACTAGCCTTTCAGTAGCATAATATCAGTTTAGTAGTAATATGCCGTAAAAGTCCGAAAATAAGCTCCCAAGCTTATATTTTTCAAAGGCCCTTTTTGAGGGGCTTACATACGAAGGGAAATGGGAGAGGCATTTGCGTCTCAATATCGATTGGGCTAGATTATAGTTGGAAATAAATTTTTGTCAGTAATTTGCACGAAGGTTTTACTGAAACTCGCCATGGGGACCAAGGTCTTTCTAAAACTCAGCCATGCGAGTACTTTGGCTATATGGATCGAAGAAATTCAAGCCAAGAGTGAAGAGTGAACTACGCAAACAGCATTAAAGTGTGATACTTCTTGATTGCAATCATTTGGCACGAGGAATAGTTCTTTGGCAAATTAAAAACATTATGTGTTACTGTACCGTTTTTAATTTGTTTTATTTTGTATTTGAGGGCAATTTCAAAGTACAAGCCCCTGGGGGCTTATATTCGGGTGAGGCGATTTAATGGAGGAATTAAACTACGAGTTTGGGGGATTATATTTGGAGGGGCTTATTTTCGGAATTTTAGTTAACATTCCATTTATATGTAACATGCCAACAGCATTGATAGAGATGGGATTTCAGTGCTACCTACCTCACTTGATGTTTGTGAGAACCATTTTTGCTTTCCTATGACTGTGAGTACTTCATCTGTAGGTTTCTTTTCGCAAGTCAGATGAACGCGTTGTCTTACCTCAAGGAGGTGAAGACAATCTTCATGAGAACATGCAATCTGATCATGGCTTGAACATTTTTCCCGCTCACAATACGGACAGGCGACCCGAATATGATACTGCAATCCACCTTTATAGAGATCGCGTGACAAAGCTTCCAAAGTTGCCTCCACAAACTCACGAACCTGCACTGCCATCTCACTTGCCTCATCCACAGAGATCTGCTGAGGGTGGTTTCTTTGCTTGATAAAGAACTTAATAAACTGCTTCTTACAAATAAGAACAAAATCATGGACAGTTTGTTTCCCAATAACGAACCACGCTCCATTGTGGAACAGGGTAGGGGGCTGAGTTGGACCAGCTTCAGAACACCAACGGACAGATCGAGAAACAAGCCGAGTGAACAGACCATAGGGAACAGAACCGCTGACAAAGTAAACAAACAGGGGACATGGGTCTAGTCTTGTGGGCGCCATGGAACAAAGGGAATCAGGCGAAGCTTTGAGTTGACATGGAACAAAGTACTTTTCTCCTGTCTTTGAAGACGAAAATTTTGCAATCAATCCAAATTGTTCCATCAAATCAAGAATGTCTTTTCTGGCAACACCCTTCAGGAGGAATTTGGAAAACACCAGATCAACCAGTTCCATGGAGAGAACACCGCTTTTTTCAACTTCCTTCCAGTGCTTGGCAACCCTAGGAACCTAAAAAGGAATAAAGCGAAGGACAATAACAAAACTGTTTTAATAATAATAATAATAATGATAAATACATATATGCACATAAACATGATACATATTTCAAAAGGTGGACCGCGAGGTTATCCCTATAAAAGGTCCCCTAACTGAACTTTAGTAAAAATATTAAAAAACGCGCGCAAAAATCATTAGTGCAGGTACAAAATGGTATAGTAAGTATGATATTTAAAATGAAAATATATACAATTAGAATATGAGCTACAGTGTCACTAAATCTTCGTCCATCTTTTACAGCCTTTTTTAAATTTGTTAACGTTAATTTTGTCTGTGAAGAGATGGTTCGGCAAACTGTTCCAGTCTTTGACAATTCTCACAAAGACGGAGTACTTAAAGGAGTTAACTTTAGCTAATTTAGTTTGTATTAAGCAAGTGAGGTAACCCGCTTAGGTGGGGTAGTAACCCGCCTGTCCAAACAACCTCTCATTTTAATTTGATCACGTTCAAATGATAGGTTGGGTGACCAGCCGCGGGTTACCTCACCACATATTAAGCTACTTAATTGCTGCAATTGCAAATCGTTGGTTATTTTATGTTTTAAGTAAACAAACAAAGAAAAAGATTTAGAGTTTTCCGTTTTCGTGTGTGGAAGGATAGAAAATAAAAGTTTCGTAGTCTGCCTAGAAAGTACTACTGTGTGGATAAAAGAAAAGAGGATAGTTTTTTAAGCAACCCTCCGTTTGGTTCGTTACACAATTCTTTCCAATCCTGTGGGAAGATTTACGAAGTCAAGTTTTCTTTTCTTTGCAACAGTTTACCACAACCTCGCGCGCAAAGGAAAAACAATAGAAATGTGGTTGTGGTGGTGAATAGAAACAACAGAAATGTGGAAAAAGAAAAAAGGTATGTGGGAAAGTGAAAAATTGCTTTTCGTCGTAGAAAGGGCTAGTTTGCCTTGGTGCTCATGACATATTCGCGATTTGCGCGCCAGGAAACAATAAGCCGGAACAACTTGGAACAACTTGTTGAACAATGAGAATCAGTGACTTTCAGTCAAGAAGAGTTAATTAGCGCTTATTCCTTCGAAAACTTCAATCAACCAATGAATATTTCCCTAGTTCTTACATGTAGTCAACCAAGCAAAAAATAACACCTTCATCTACCAAGAAATAACTGGAAAACCGGTCCAACAAGTTGAAAATAGCACTCGACATTATTTTAGGGCCTGTTTACACGGAGTTAGGGGACTCCAAGCAAGTGAGGTAACCCGCTTAGGTGGGGTAGTAACCCGCCTGTCCAAACAACCTCTCATTTTAATTTGATCACGTTCAAATGATAGGTTGGGTGACCAGCCGCGGGTTACCTCACCTACCTGGGGTCCCCACCACCATGTAAACAGGCCTTTAAAGAGGTTCAACCGCATTTTATTCATCAGATAAAGACAAAAAGTTACGACGTCATAGGCGTTTACGTATTCCAGCGAAGATTCCACAGCAAAAAAGGCTGATTCTGTGCCTAATATACTACTGGGGGTAGACTAGGAGTGGCCCCTTATTTTCCTCTGGGATATTTGAGCGAGCAAAATACAGGAGCGTTTGTCACCTTCTTCGCGGTGGCAATTTTCACTCGCGCACGCCTAATCCTCTCGTTCTACCATCCCTGAGGAAAATGAGAGACTACTTGTCACCTATTTGGAGAGGGTTACTTGACTAGTCAAAAGGACCTCAGCGTAGGAGACAATACTGCTTGGTACAAGCTACACTCTTTCGTTTTTTGTGTAGGTTGAGCAGTGTTATAAATTTTTCGAAATTGGCTCCGCGCGTGTGCATCAGTACTAATGTGCAGTAATACTGCACAGCGTTACAATACTAACGTTACATGACATTGCATGATATTACATTACAAATGAATTACAAATACATTACATTACATTACACTATGAACTTTAACGGTAAAGTAACTATACAAAAAAAAGAAAGAAAAATACGTTCTAAGTCAGGGACCGCGCAGCAAGTTTTCGAGTGGGGGGGCTAAAGAAGAATGCGTGAAGGGAAATGTTTTTTTTGGGGGGGGGCGGGGGGCGGGGGGCATGCTTGTGGATTTCTATTCAATTTCTCTAAAGCGACGAAGAATGCGAATAACGATAAAACTATTGATTTTTTTCCACATCTTCAGTGATGTTGCTATCGGGTCTGAAAATTCACCATCACTAAATTGAAATATCATAGATTGTTATGTTATACTACTAATATCAACCTTTAATTACTATAAACAAGCCAGAAATCCAACGATTTTGCTTGAGCTGCCTTGAACTCAAGGCTGTATAATTACTGAGCAATTATTGCACGAGGCTGAGTATGATATGAAGAGTTATGCAGATCGAGGGGGTTATCCGCCAAAGCCGAAGGCTTGAGCCCGGTGGACAACACCCTCCGAGATCTGTATATCTTCATATCATACGACAGCCGAGTTCAATAATTGTTTAATTATTCATTCAAAATATTTACAAGGCAAAACAAAACGGTAACTGAAAATAATTTAGTGAATGAAAATTCAATTATAGAACAGATTCAGAAAAAAGAAGCAAAAATTGTGCAGAGGTTACTCACCCGATAAAGAAGGTTTTCCATTTTGTTTGGAAAAGTAATCAGAAATTTAAAGAGATCTCTTCTTTGCATTACTAGTGGTATGTGAAGTCTCGTCGTTCGTATTTATGTTGCCGTGTACCATGTGCACTTCTTTGTTCGTAATAACCGCCGGATTGAATGTTCCTTGATGACCAGAGCTATACACAATTCTGCGGTTTAAGTACTTTCGATGACAAAATGTTTTTATAAACAGACCGCGTTCAACAAAACGTGCAATTGGAATGCTCAACGAGCCGTGAAGCCTGACATCAAAAGACGGACTTCGTGCTGATCGAGCTAAAATCAGGACGCACAATAACAGGAGAAACAATAACTTCACGATCTTCCAAAAATCAAGGTTGAAACTAATAAACAATTTGTTTGAGAATCGCCTTATAAACTAAACCCAGTTATTACTTTGGATCGAAATTGACCAATTACGAAACAACGCGTTTTGCTGAGAGGTCCGCAGGAAAAAGAAGCCATTTAAAAGACGTTTACCTCTGCTAGGTTAGAAGCGAAAAAATATTTTACAATTGTAACGACTAATGCTTCATTCTGGCTATTTATCTGCGCGTTTGTCTTTGCCAGTAACTCTGGTCACTTTCGAATTAACGATTTTTTGCTATTTTTCACTCCGTTACTTTTGTTAAATTATTTTTTGTTTAATTTATTTTTATTCTTGCAAAAAAGTGGGGGGGCTAAAGCCCCCCCAGCCCCTCCCTCTGCGCGGTCCCTGACTAAGTACAGACGACACTACGGTACAGAGTCCAAACGCAGAGCCCACTTCTTGTCCATTTTATTAGTTTTAATACATATGTACTTTTCTGTTTCATACTTAATTTTAACCTTGAATGAAAAGGCAGTATGACTGGAAGAGTTTGATTTCTTCTACAACCCCATAAGTATAGTTTAGCGATCAGTATCAAATAATCCAGTAAAGGGCAATTTGTATATAATATTCCTGTAATAACGTCTTGTAAGGTCAGACAGATGAATTCTCTTGTCAATGTACATGTGTAATAGTAATATTGAAATTCTTTCCAAAACTGCTTGGTGTGTCTGCATTCGAAAAAGATGTCGTAAAGGGATTCCGAATCCGTTTTGCATAGGGAACATTTATCGTCTTGAATATAACCTATTTTGCATAACTTTTTGTTGGCAAATAGAATTGAATTAAGGACTTTGTATTGAAAACCATTTAGATAAGGTTCAAACGCTCCCTCATGTGGAAAAAGGAATACTTTTTTCAGCCGGTCTTGGGTTAGATTGAAATCTTGACGCAAGTGTTTGGAGTTTTTTGGACACTGGGGAATTATTCTTTTAATTAGCATGTAGTAATCTTTAGATTTCTTTTCTAATATATCAAATTCTTTGTTATCGATTGTCAATATTAAGCTTATTTCTGAGCGAAGACAATTGCTATTCTTTAAATGTTTTGGAACAGAGAGACGAAGCCCTGCCCAAATTAGGTAGTTAATCTTGCTAATGTTATTCGAAACAATAGTAAAAGAATTTGTGGTGTCTAATTCAAACAAAAGATCATTTACGAAAATAACATCTTGTTCAAAAAGTTTTTTATAGAAATCAGGCTTATTATCAACACTTATCTCTTTGTTATTCCACAAAAAATACTGTCATTCCCTTCTATTATCGAAAACACTACGAAACTCAGACCACCATTGAAGTAACTCGGAATAGAATTTAGAGAAAATATGTATCTCTTTAATGTCATAATTACAATGAAATAAAAAGAGGCCCCCAAAAGGTTCCAACAAAAACCGTAAAAAGCTTCTCCAAGCACCATTGTTGCACTGGAAGATCCTTTTCAGCCAGGCTAGTCGTAAAGATTAAATCATACTTTCCAGATCGATCATTTTTAAACCACCGTTTTCGTATTCGTTAATTGTGGAAAGTCATCTCACTTTATCCGTTCCTTTCCACAAAAATTTAAATATCATTTGATTTAAGTCTTTAACGATTTCCTTGGGGACCGGCAGAAGCGAGGAAATGTAAACAAGTTTTGGTATGATTAAAGACTTGATAATTGTTACTTTCCATAGATAGAAAGACCTCTTGAAGACCAAATGTTTATAAGTTTTTTGACACTGTCCAATCTCTCAATAAAATTTTTTTCGTGCAAAAGTTTGATAACGTATGAGTAATAAACACCAAGGGCTTTGATTGGTTCATCAGGCCATTTTATACCAAAAGGTTTTGAAGTTTTATCTCTAGACGACCCGATCCACATTCCTTCAGTTTTAGATGAGTTAATTACAAGTCCTGATAAGTTCTTGAATACTTCGAGAAGGTTAAAAAGGGCCTTGCCGAGTCAGACAGAACGGCCGTTGTGTCATCAGCATATTGAAGGAGTTTTGTTTCTTCGCCACCGATTTTAATACCAATTATCTCTGGGTTTTGACGAATTGCCAAAGCAAGAGTTTCAACTGCAACAACGAACAAAATACAGGAGCGTTTGTCACCTTCTTCGCGGGTGGCAATTTTCACGCGCTCTCGCCTAATTCTCTCGTTCCACTATCCCTGAGGAAAATGAGAGACTACTTGTCATGTAGTTGGGGAGGGTTGCTTGACGAGCCAAAAGGACCTCAGCGTAGGAGACAATACTGCTTGGTACAAGCTACACTCCTCCGTTTTTTGTGTAGGTTGAGCAGTGTTATAAATTTTTCGAAATTGGCTCCGCGCGTGTACATCAGTAAGAGCGGTGAAAACAAGCCTCCTTTATATATACGTATAGGTAATCACATGATTTCGAGTGCAATTTGGAATAAATAAGCACGAGTAAATTTTTGAAAAATTTACAAGAGCTTATTTATTCCAAATTGCACGAGAAAAATCATGTGATTACTTATTAATAATATACACGAAAAGCATAACTACAACTACAAATTTTGACAGCGCGCGCGTTTTTAGATCATTCAACTGATTGGCTGAAACAGTCTACTACCTTTGTCAAATTCAAACTTTTTCAAGACCAATCTGTAAGAGTGTTATCGAGATATTTTGGGAACAAGTTTTTATGTTTAGAAATACGGTAAAAAATGGACAATCTTGATGTTCGACTGTTATCACAGTCGATAACGCTCTTACAGATTTCGCTTAAACTTCACGAACATCTAGGCGGCTATTGTCGGAAAAAGCTCTAGTAAACGATTTTGGAAGAACAGTACCCAGTGCCGAGATATACTGCTGCAAGTAAAATAGGTGATGGCGTCATTTCGTTGCTATGACAACTCCGATGTCATTGCAACCCTGATCATAACAAAGTTTCATCTTTATCTAATACAACTGTGGTGTCAATTTTTCCAAATCTTTGTTTATGGCGACGTAGTTTACGCTCAAACTTGGGAGGTATTGACCTTGAAAAACTATATCGAGCCACCTTAAATTTAAATAAAACACATATAAATACATCTTCCGAACGACTAAAGCAAAAGTTCTTAAAAAGGCGGGTTTTAAATTTATGCTTAAAAAGACTTAGATTCTCGCATGAGCGTATATCGTCAGGTAGTTTGTTCCAAAGTTCAGGGGCTGAAATAGAGAATGCTCTAGACTCATAGGTCTTAAGGTTAAAGCTAACAGGATTCAGACTGAGCGTAGAGGATGACCGAAGCAGTCTAGAAGGTAAGTAGCGGGTGATAAGGTCTTGAATGTAGGTTGGAGATTGCTGATGCAGAGCTTTGAAGGTAAGTAGTAGAATCTTGAATTCAATTCGTTCAGAAACAGGTAGCCAGTGAAGATCGAGGAGGATGGGAGTGATGTAATGACACTTGCTAGACCGTGTAATCAGTCTGGCAGCTGCATTCTGCACCGATTGAAGCTTTTTGATGACGTTTTTAGGGACATTATATAGTAGTGAATTGCAGTGATCGAGTTTGGAAGTTACGAAGGCGTGAATAAGAATCTCAGTAGTTTGCGTTGATACGTATTTTCTTATGCGAGAAATGGTGCGAAGATGATAAAAGGCAGATTTACAGACATTGTTTACATGGGGAAGCATTGACATAGTGTATCGAAGATAGCGCCAATGTTTCTTGCATGTGGAGAGGGCTTGATTATGTCAGTTCCAAAGCGAAGAGGGGGTAGGGATTGTTGTGGATTAAACTTTGAGAATAAGTAGAGAAGCTCGGTCTTGTCTTTGTTTAGTTTTAGTCTGTTGATGGACATCCACTTATCAATGTCGGACAGGCATTCCTCAATCTTAGTGATAATGTTGGTTAATTCCATGTCGTCGTTTGTTGAGAAAGAAATACACAATTAAGTGTCATCGGCGTAAAAGTGAAATTGCATTTCGTGGAATCGTAGAATGTTGGCCAGTGGTGCTGTGTAGAGTACATACAGAATCGGTCTAAGGAAAGAAACTTGAGGTACAATAATAATAATAATAACACTTATATAGCGCTTATCCGCATGCGATACTGCTCGCGATACTGCGATCTACACCCTTCGATTATCGCAAATTGCGAGCGATTAGTGAGGTAGGTGCGAAACCATTCAAGAGCTATGCCAGAGATAGAGTATTTAGAGTGCAATCTTGTAAGGAGGATATCGTGATCCACAGTGTCGAATGCAGCAGAGGGGTCTAACAGTAGAAGCATAACACAGCGACGTTTATCAATAGCTACCAAAATGTCATTATGAACGCGCACAGGGGCGATTTCACAACTGTAGAAAGGTTTATAGGCAGATTGTAGCGGCTCATTTAGCTGGTTAGCTTCTAAATATTTTTGAAGACGTACTGCGACGACCCAATAATTTTTGAGAGTACTTTGAGGTTTGAAATAGGTCTGTAGTTTGCAAGAACTTCATGATCTAAGTTGGCTTTCTTAAGTAGTGGAGATAGAACAGCAGTGTTCAAAGAAGACGGAAAATGACCGGATTCCAGTGACAAATTGAGAATCTGCAAGATAAAGTAAGTTGAGTTTGATCGTCTGGGTGAACTGCGTAGTCCTGAATAGGACTGTTGTTGTTGACAGTGACTGACGTTTCGACAACCTGTGCGGTAGTCATCTTCGGAGTCAAAGTGAGCTGTATCACGTCAGTTCATGCTATTATACTCTGGTTATTGATCTGATTGGTCAATTACGTCGCGATTTTATTGGTCGTTTGTCAGTTAAGCCGTGATGTTATTGGCTATGAAGACTCGTAATCAGTAATTGGTGCGTTTCGATCCGTCTATTGTCACAGTTAAACAGTCGTCTATTGTTAGTCAAATTGTCAGTTCTCCAGTTATCTCGTAGTTAGTTTTGCTTGATCTCGTCAATAAGTCGTTTGTACGTCGCTGGTAACTTTTGGCTACGATTCAGTGGCGTCTTTTCTAAGTTAGTAAACCAGCTTTCTAAAGTAAGACGTTGATAGTAGTCTGTAGAATACGTTATACATGTCGCAGAGTCCCAGTCAATTTGATGTTTCGTCTTTAAATGGTGCTCAGCAATGTTCCTCGTCGCTTGTTTGTGTTCGGTCAGTCGGGTGCTTAGGTTTCTGCCGGTTTCACCAATGTAAGAAGCCTGGCAGTCGCAGCATTTGATCTTGTATACTGCTACCTGTAAAGTGGTTATTGGTTTGTGTGCAACACGTATATTGTAAGGTTGTAATATACGTGCAATAGTTTCAGAGGTGCCTGTGATGTGCGGTATAGTCGCTGTCGTAACAGGGTCAGAGTTGGTCTGAGTGTTGGAATCTGTGTTACTGTGAGTGTTCCGTCTAACATAGTCCGTGTTGTAATTCTTACTAAAAACGTTGTTAAGATAATCAGTCTCGTCTTGTAGGCTGTCAGGTGAGTTGCAAACTAGTTGAACTCGTCTCGTCAGAGTCCGGATAGTAGTAGCCTTGTGAGAGGTCGGGTTGTACGAAGACTGGTCTGGTAATCGTTCGGTATGTGTCGGTTTTCTGTAAATAGTCGTTTTTAGTTTGTTGTTGTCGCGAGTGACCAAGCAGTATAGAAAAGGTATCTTACCATTTTCTTCGATCTCGTTGGTGAATTGTATGTCCGCGTTCTGTCTGTTAAGGTGTTCGTGAAAATCGTCGATTCCGTCTTTGTGTACGGCGGTGAATGTGTCGTTTGAACGTAACGTAACCAAAGAGGTACAGTTCGTGTGTAGGTAGCTAGGGCTTGTTCCTCGATGTTTTGCATGACAATTTCTGCTACAACAACAGAAAGTGGAGAGCCCATAGCCGTACCGTGTAACTGTTTGTAATGTTTGGCGTTGTACTGAAAGTACGTCGAAGTCAAACAGAGGTTGAGTAGGATAATTGGTAAACGTAACTCGAAGTGCTGCTTCAGTGGGGTGGCAGGAAGCGGATCCAAAATTCAGGATTTCATGATGATATTGTTAGCAATGTTCGACAGTTCGGTGTTGGATGTTGGTGCAAAATTTACAAGCTGACAGGTTATTGATGAAGTATCTAGGGTTCTGAAGAAATCAGGAATTACAGGTGTACCAAGATTACTTCTGATATTGACGATTTTCTGATGTCTTGCACAATGATTCGTAAACGTTTTTCTCACTTTGTTTAAGACTGGTACCAGGTACGGATACTTTCATTACGTTAGTTATGGTATTTTCGCCCATTGGTTTAGTTTGGACCAGATGTGTAAATTTTCGGTTTCGTTTGCTACTGTCAGGAAAAAAAAAAAAAACAGACCATCGCATGGAGGGGTCTTCGCTCCACAAAAGACTCAAAGAGAGCATCGGACACCTTTCTCCTCCAACAAATAACGTACGTGACTTAAAATCCCTGTTGTTATCATGGAAAACTTGTATCCTTGTTCATTTAAATGCTTGAAAAGTGTAGCTGTCATGGTTTGCGTGTGGTTGCCACCGTTTCTGTTCTTTCTTTTTTTTTACTTTAGCGTAATCTGTTATAAGTAGCTTGTTTTATAGTTTCTCTGGCTCATTTTCCTCGATTTGTTGACAGTATTTTTCTCTTAGCGCCGCAGTTTCAATACATTTAGCTAGAAAGACGTACTTTTTACTGTGTTCGGGTTTTTCAAATATTTTTTTACCTTGTCTATTGTTGTTTTGCCTCGTCTGCTGAAAGCCATGGCCATTTTCTTTAATTTTGTTGTTAAAACAGCTCTAATCTGTTTGGTTCTTGGCCATGTACATGTCTTGGTGGTTTCTTTTGTGTCTTCAGCCAATCAGAAACCATTTGTAATTTGCACTCGTGTTACAAGTTTTTGAACTCGTGTTACAAGTTTGCACTCGTGTTACAGAAGAACTGCACTCCTTTCTCAGCCAATCAGAATTGAGCATTTTTTTCTTGTATATTATTAAACATGTATTTCCACTCTGGTTGGTTGTACAATTCCTTTGAGCCTACATAAAGGGTAAATTACAATTAAATTGGTTATAAGCTCCTATTATTGTTAGCGGGTGCCTCGTGATGTCACCTAACGTCTTTCGAAATTGAAACAAGAATCCTCTTGGAATATTACAACGTTCAAATAAGAAAGTGCAGTGAAAATGTTTCATTGTAATGTTTACTCTTAGTGACGTCAGTATAGTGGGTTGATTACAGGGACGACTGCCGACCAGGCGTTAGTACTAATTCAGTTGTTAAAGGTTTGGTCGAGTAACATTTCATTTCAGAATTACATCGCCTACCCTAACTGTTTTACTCTGAGGAAATATTAAATAGCAGCCCAATCAACCAGGATTTTGCTGTTTACAAATATTTGAGTAACAGCTAACATTTTCAAAAAGATAGCGGGCAATGCACTTGATATAATTCTTTTTATTAGCTACAGCACGGTTGGAAACCTGTGATGTCATCCAAAATGTGGACCATTATAAACCTTGCAAGTTTTAAAACACGTTTAAAATCCATTTCTTACCATTTTCGTAAAATCTGGAATAGTGATCACATGCCCGAACAAGTCTATCAGCCACTGGGTACTCAAGATGACTGTGCTACGGTGCTTGATAATTATCCCCAGGTCATGATAGAAATTCACCATGGTGGTAAACTCTTCCTCATCATCGATGAAGCACTTCTCCTTGGCATGGGTCCGTAGCTTCGTTATACTCAGGTAATAAACTGGCTTGGAAAGCAAAGCGTTGATGACTCTCTCAAAGTTCAGCCACCTAGTTTACAAAACCAAAGAGAAAATTGATAGCACGCGTTTAAGTATCCATGTCATGACACAGTATACCTGTACTGACTAAAGTACAGGGCCCAGATGTGCGAAAGGTGGATAACTCTTTTCACTGGATAAATACATGGGTATCTGTCCAAAATCCGGTGGAAAGTGCCATAAGGTTTCCTACTATTTTCCAGCTTAATAGTGATTCCTCGTTTGAACAACCGGGGCCAGAAGCATAAACACGTTCCAAAACATGACTGCTGAAATGTTAAAAGCCGAGAAGATTTTTTATTAGTTAGTATTGATGGTCTTTCTAAACTTAAAATGAGATCAATATAAGCTTAAATAAGCTTAACTAATACAGCTGGTCATGTTCTAAATGGTCACCATGTGCACTTATGCAGTTAACTACAGATTGGAGCGGTGTGTTATCCGCTTTACTTTACCTTTTTAAAACGACAATTGAAATGTACACGGTGCTTTTTGGTCAATTCGAGATAAGATTATAAAACCGTTCTGGGTAGAATATTCCTTAAGGTTAGTCAAAACTGCTTTTCACGGTTAACTTGTTTGAATCAACGAGATATTCATTTCTTATGACCGCTAGGTAGCTCATACAGGAATCACTGAATATTTTCTGTTCTCGCTATAATTTTTTTTAACCAAAGTTAAGGACTACAATGAACCAGCCTTTTGATGTTTTGCGGCCACACTTTTATGCAGCGTCACAGTCAATGAGTTACTTATGGCACCTGAAACACATTTACATATTAAAGAAAAAATCTTACAAGGACTGGCGGAAACAAACGCCATACACGTAAAACGTAATCTCAGTGTGTTCACAGCTTAACTTTTGACATGGAAATTATTTAATATTTACTTTGATGGATTCTAAACATTCTGGTATAACCATCATTTACCTCACAGGTCTACTCTCCCCAATGTAAGGCTCCTGTCTTAGTACTTCCATGATTTTTACTTGTAGAGCTTCGACCTCCTCAATGTTTTCGTCTTTCCCGAAAACCATTGTCTTGATCTTCCTTTGAGTTAATTTTGCAGTGTTGTCAATGCTGAAGATAGGCCGCACCACATGTCCTTCATAGTCCTTACCAGCAATTGCGTTCTGGATTTCTGTTTTCATTGTTGAAATGTCTTCAAATGGTTTGTCTGCATGGGTTCCTACAATGATCACTGGGGGGCGCAAATGAGGCACCTCTTCTTCTACATCATCACAGGTTTCTCTTCTCATCTGTGCGACGCTATGCACTGTGGACAGCCAAGACAACAAGTTCTCAAGATTTGTTTCGCCATTTGGGTTTTCCAACTCAACATTACGAGATCCTTGTCTCACACAGGGCTTGGCTGTGTCATGCAGTGACTTGCTGAGGTTGCACACCAAGATGTACAGCGCACGTGATGATAAAAATACGGGATGGGATGCATAATACAGGTGTTGTCCAGCAAAATCCCACAGTTCAATACTCACAACAGATTCTTCAGCCTTAACATCTTCACCTTCTAATTCCTTTATCAACTCTACAGCTCGCTCCTTGATCTCCTCTGGACGTAAAGTAGTATCAACCACTAACTCATGATCAGGTCCTGTTAATGTGAGTTCACTAACACCGTCTTCGTTTGGATCATCTTCCTGTAAAAGAATATGAAAAAAAAGAAACAAAATAACTGTTAATTTGTTTCGGATTCTGAAAGACTATTTTGGGGGGTGAAGAGGAATAATGGAATAAGAATGACGGAAATTGTTTACTTGGAATAATGGAAAAATGCCATTTTGTGGCGCGGAATAATGGAATATGCAGATTTTTTCAACGGAATAATGAGTTCTTTTTTCTGGAATAATGGAATACCGAAAATTTTCCAGCTGAAATATTGACATAATGAACACTTGATTATTTCTCTTCACCCTCTGATTCGATTATTCAGCCATTTAAAGTTTTTTGTTTTAAAGATACGGCTACACTCACTTTGGTTTGCGCACGCGCACTAATGACCCAAAGGCTAAGCTTGCGAGGATGGGTACAACATAAAACAAAACACTAGTAGTATCATTTTCCACTTGGAACTGAAATTACTAGACAAGTATAAAAACGCTAAATTTTTAACTGCCACTTGAAAAAAAAAACGATCTGGCAATTATTACATCTTTTCCACATGAACATTGTAGGAAAGGACAGCGAAGCCGTGGTGAGTTCCTCACTAAAACCTAATTTATGAAGGCGATAATCAATTCATAATAATTATTGTTAACACGTTCTTGAAGTCACGAAGGATTCACGAAAAAACATCACATTTCAAAACCAAGAAAGACTAACCTGGTTCACAAGAGAAACTTCTTCGTTTTCTGCATCAGTAACAACCTGTTTCCTATTCTTGTTATCATCATTTTGAAGAATTACATCACCTCTTTCCTCCTCCTGAACCAAATCACGGTTAACTGAAGTATTATAAATCTTTTCCACCACCATCTGTGCCACATCTTTCGAACATCCTAGCAACCCTTGTTTTCCCTCATCAATAGGTTGCCAATTCCTGACTTCATCAAAGTTCAACCGAAATTTTGAAGGATCCACTTCAATTCCATCAGTACTTTTTTCTTTTGAATTAAAAGGTAGACCAATGAGAGACTTCTTCAAACTTGTTTTTCCTGCCCGATCTTGCCCAATAAGCAATACTCGACCACGGTAAACATTAACAGTTCCATCTTTCAGAGCACTTTGATAAGCGAGCTGTGCTTTTTCTCCGCGTGCTTCTATTTGTAAAGGAGCTAGTGAAAGAAAAAAAAAGAATGCTCATTAAAGGTAGGTCATGTCTTAGAGGTTTTGAAGTTCATTGGCTTCTAGTTCAAACTTACCTATTGTAGGAGGTCATGAATGAAGGGGGGGGTACTTAGTCCTACACCAGTGTTAGTTGTCCTTCTTGTGATCTTTCAGTATGGTCTTTTAAGTTATTAAAAGAAATCTATGGTAAACATAATTTTACTGAATTTCAAATGTACATATAATTAAATTGAGTTATTTTTGATACAGTTAAACAATCCACCTGCTATTTTAAACTCTTTTTTTTACTGCGCTTACTTCAAGTCTCCATGCATGTTCAAAACACCATAAATGGTGCGTGAAAATTAGTGTTGTGTTTTGCATCACCAGAATTATAAGTGTTGTTTGCACTCATTTGAAATACCTGTCCCTCTAAAAGAAACAATTATTCTGAACATCAACGAACTAACTTCGTTTCAAGCGCCCACTCTCTAACAAGCACCCCTATTGCATAAGCACCCTCGTTCCAACCTGGGGGGGGGGGGGCGGTTACTTGGGTTAATTTTTGTTAGGTATGTGCCGCTGGCCTCTCAGATCCCCGAACCATTATAGTCTATACTGTGGCGATATTGTAGACCCCATCTTAGTCACTTTTGGAAAAAAGAACATCCTAATATGATCTGCCACATTTTTGTTAAACTTGGTGCGGTGTAAATTTTTCTATTTTTAAATCCCTACATACCTGAATTTTCTGACCCCAAGAATCTTGAAAATGAGTGACCCCGTTCCAGTATCTCTTAGAAAAATGTGACCCCATAATAGTCAATCCAGTCGTGAAAATGCGGACCAATCCAGCAGCACATACCCATTAGCCTACTACTAGGAAGTACCCCCCACCCTGGCATTCCAAGCGCCGCTATTCAATCACCGACTATTGTTCCATCCTATCGTGACAAGGTTGACCCTAATTCACGGACCCAGAGTGAAAGGCCGCGAACACTCTCGATTGCTAAAATCAACAAAGGGCCTACAGCACCAAAGATAGTGCCAAAGTGTATGGTTTTGAATGCTCGGTGCCTGGCAAAACCTGATACAGTTCCGGCTCTTTATACTGAGCTTAGTAACAATAAAATTGATACCGTATTTCCTCGAATAATAGCCGGGAGCGATGACTATTTTTTTGCCACAAAAAGGGGTCGATTATTTGAGGGGGCGATTATTTCAAATATTGCTCACTGGAGGTCGTGCCCTAAATATTTTGTTTTATTATTCTATTAAACCGAAAATTGATAACATCAAATAAACAGAACATGGGACTTTTAAATGTTCCAAATTATTTTGGTTATTTGATTAATTTTCAATGCCAACATGCTCGGCACCCGAGCTTGAATTGTCACTAATCAGTTTTGCTGGATCAGGCTCCACTTGACAGGGAGGGGATAAAAGCAAGAGAAGATGGCGAGAGGGGTGGGGGTGGGCGATTATTGGAGGGAGGCGATTACTTTAAACATTTCGGTCTAAGGGGGCGATTATTCGAGGGACGGCTTTTATTCGAAGACTATTTTGTTTCGGAGTCATGGTTGAGTATGATAATCTTGTCACATTCGAATGGACCAGAGGGCTATATTACGCTAAGGAAAGATCGAGCTGGCTCGCCAATCGGTGGTGGTGTTGCTATTATTTGTCGAAATGATTGGAAGGCTAAAGCGTTGAATGTCACTGATAGCTTGGAATTTGAGTCTTAGTTGGAGACCATGTCGCTTTGTAGACATGACGACCTCGTAAAGCAGACGAAAATTCGCCTTCATAAACAAGCTTCGAACTCCAAATCAAGGGATTGCCAGAAGGAGCCATGATCGTAGACGTTTGCTAATTCTTGCTCATAAGGTGCACTGCCCCTGTTTCATGGTTCGAGAGTTTTGCTTCGCAACCTAAAAGAAATAGACGCCCTGTTTCGAATAAGCGTCCTCATTTGAGAAACCATAAGTATATAAGCTTTCCGGGTGATAAATCGAGTCATTACGCTAAATAATTTAATGGCATTGTCTTTTGTTCAAATTATTCTGTAGTTTGTTTCCTCCTCTCCAAGCATTATGCTTTTGAAGTGGTGGGAAGGTTTGGTTGCCTTAGTGATCCTAAAGGCTACATGCTGGGCAGGTTTCAGGTGAAAGGCAAGACACCTGGCCGTCCACGTGGGGAAAGGGGGCGGGGAGGGGCGGTTAGACAATTCACTTACACTATTGCCGTGCATGCTGACAGGGAAAACAACAAATACTAACTTGCAAAACAAACCTAAGTGAAGCTAAGTGTGACTTATAATTTTGTTAAATGGTATAACAAATTTCAGACCAGTTATAGCTTAGATCACGAGAAGTACTTTCTCAGGCTTAAACACAGCAAACTAAGCCACCTTTTCTCATTTGAAACTTGAACAGCGAGCTTACTGAACAGCTCAAAACACTTCATCCTTAACGGTCTGTTTATTGTTCTGTAACAATAATTTTTTCTGTTTAATACATATTGTGTTCAGCGGCCAAACTTCCATAATTATAACATAATAATATTACACCATCCATTAAGTGAAAAATGGCTTTAAGACTTTGCGGTTGTGTTTTTTTTTTGCTAGATAAAGCCAGAAAAGTCCAGAAATACAGTTAAAACACCTCGTCTTGTGTTAGCGAGTTAAACATGCTCACTGTTTTTTCGGCTTTATGACCGAAAAATTACGCAAAGTTAGACAACCTCGCGAGATGGTATAACTTGTCCTGATAAATACCGCAGCCAATCGCGTTGCGCGTTGTGACAGACGCCTGCCAAATGACCGGCAAAATGAACATTTTACTAGAGGCTGTAGTGAAGGGCTACCAGCAGTGCCCATTGACAATAAGGACGGGTGAATCTTTCGTCCTCGATGAATAAATCGACAATTAATAGGTAAGACTTTTAATAACTAATTCGTAGCCAGTGGTAGCGCAAACGTATCTGAAATCATTATTAAAGGATTTCAGACAATTGACAATCGATAAAATGGATGAAAATTGATGACAATTAATAAAAATTGATACTCACAACTCTTTCGATCTTCGATATTTATCGATTACCGATATCACTCGCTTAATTACTATCGTTTAAAATCGAATAGAATCCATTGTTTCGAGATTCATCGATTTGGCACGGCGGGTTAAACCCACGCTACTTACGGCAATTATTGCTGTTTTGCTGTTACATTTTGAAACAGGATTATACAACATAACTTCCTACCTCTTACTCTTTAGAGACACTATTCAACTGCATTCATAAAATAGCGAGAATCATTAAACGAAAACACATTCAAAGCGCTAATTCGTCTCCTAACATTTTTGAATGTGGCCCGCTTTTAAAATTTGAATCCTCTGAGTTCTTACGAGCTAAATTTAAAAGTGAAAACAGCTAGTAATCGTAAAGTGTTCCACTCAGTAGCAAATCGACAACAGTGAAAACATAGCCTCCCCCGCAGGCGTTTCTAGGGGAGCTCGTATTTCATTAGTCTGCGAACAGCAGACGTATTTCCGGTCGTCGCTTCTCTCCCTCTGAAAGTTCGTGAAACACAACCGGTGGGTCATTTAGTAAGGGTGTGAGGGAATACAATGTTTGGTATACCCTGGATAATTGCTATTTTTGACAGCTGATTTGAAATTTTAAAACAGACGAATAAATTAAAATGAATTAATACGTACAAGAAACTTACCATTGATTTTGAAACTACAGTTTGTAGCATACCTTGATTTATCAAACTACAATATCCGCTGTGCTTACCTGCAACAGCATATACACCTACTCCTTTCTTCCTTAACTTCAAGGCACGTCTTATAGCGTCAACAGTTAAAGGATTACGACTCACACTCAGCTCCCTCAGCTCCCTGAGGTCACCAATCTCAGCAGGTAGTTCAGTTAGTTTATTTCCATGCAAGTCCAGCCATTCAAGCTTCGTCAGTCTCTGTATACTGGCAGGTAAACCAGCCAACTGGTTGTTGCTCACCCACAGCACCCTCAGCTCCCTGAGGTCACTAATCTCAGCAGGTAGTTCAGTTAGTTTATTTTCACTCAAGTACAGCTTTTCAAGCTTGGTCAGCCTCTGTATACTGGTAGGTAAACCAACCAACTGGTTGTTACTCACATTCAGCTCCCTCAGCTCCCTGAGGTCACCAATCTCAGCAGGTAGTTCAGTTAGTTCATTTACATTCAAGACCAGCTTTTCAAGCTTGGTCAGCCTCTGTATACTGGTAGGTAAACCAACCAACTGGTTGTTAAACACCCACAGCCTCCTCAGCTCCCTGAGGTCACCAATCTCAGCAGGTAGTTCAGTGATTTTGTTGTTATCCAATTTGAGCACAATGAGATTTTTCAGCTTGCTGATACTTGCTGGTAATTCAATCAAGTTATTATTTTTTAGCACAAGTTTCTCTATTTCACTCCGTTCAGTGAAAGCATCATGTACCCTGGATAGTCCTTTCTCTTTCAGATCCAAAACTGCTAATCCATCTTCACGTTTTAAGTAAGGTCTCAAATTTGTATAGGAATAATGCTCCATGTTTCAAATTGTCAATAAAAAGTCTCAACAGTTCTTCTTACCATCTAGAAATAACAAATAGTAACCTAGTATAAAAAAATCAAAATTATATCATCAATATAGGTGAATTTTTACAGAATTCAAATAAAAGAAATCTAGAACAGAAGCTGTTAGTGCATTCAAAAAATCTTTTATTAGTAGACTAGGGTATCTAAAAGATAGTAATGCTGTGGCAAATTTTGTTGATAATATCATTAGTTAGGCAGTGATCCATCTGCTTGCATGCGACTTAAAAGAATCAAAAATGACAATAAACTTTCCCCTTTTCTTGCTGTACAAAGCTCAAGGATTTCCTTTCTGCTTTTACCATTTTCTTCCAAGTGTCTCCTCTTTCTCATTTCAATTCAGTCTAAACTATTGTTGATGACCACCAAAAATGCAAAGATTGAGCCAGGTCATCTTAGGGAGGTGGTCACTTATTGAATCAAACAACAGTGGGTCCCTTCCTAGAAGATTGAGATCCCAACACATCGACATTTTGGAACAGAATTCATCGCATGTAATTTCTAATTTGCAATATGTGTATAGTTTCATGGTGTCACTAAAAGATTTTCACATACTTTGAGTAGTGTATACTTCGTACAGCAAACAACAAAACAATAACTGACCACGGTACAAGGAAAACAAATTATGTCATTATTGTGTACTGCTCAGACTGTTTGGAATAAAGGCCTTAAGAAACACTGATTCCCAATTGTGGCTACGTATGGGATGTGTATTATGGGTACGTGAACATGTTTGTGATCAGGTACATGTAATATAATAATTATATTACATCATAAGGTGACAAATGATTTGATTTCTGCAGATCTGGAAATAATCCCAGGAGGGGGCGGTTTATTGATTTTCAGTGGCAGGCAATGGGGATGCCTATTTGTCGTATTTATGCTTATTTGAGGGGGAAACACTTATTTGAAGGGGTCGCTTATTTCATTTTTTAGTATTTCAGCCTCAAGATAGCATTTGTCTTTCTTTCACACAGACAAAAAAACTAAGCAATGAAACTACAACATATTTTTCAATAAATACCCAAGTGTGCTAGTGTCCTTAGCTTGGAACTTACCATTAAAACTATCCTCAAGCACTATAATTATTCAGAGGAGCTGAGTCATTAACATCTGATCCTGTGATGTCCCCAAATAAGTTATTCTCTTGTGACTGTAACTTTTATGCTACCCTTTTGAAAGATAAAAGTCCAGTATACCATGTATTTAGTAAGGCAGGGTGTTAAAGGTGGCTGCTTATATGAAGGGGAGGGACGGAAGCTTAAACGAACACTATCCTATTACTGCGCATGTACCAAACTTAGATTTTCTGACAGGATGTTGAGAATTCAAAAGATCCACATAGTGTTATAGAACCTTCCAAAATCTTTGCATCATGTTCGACTGAGTTACACCACTAAACCTTCTCAAAACTACAGATTAATGTTCCCATTAACTTTTGATTTTAGTGAAATTGGGAGTTTTTAGCATTGCTTTCATTTAGATACAACAAAGAAATGGACGAGACATGGATGCCACTGAAAAGATCTTCCAACGACATCTTAGTAAAATTAAAAAAACCTCCTTAACAAATATGACCAACTAAATTAACCAAACAGCTGGCCCTTGATGTATAGAAAAACAAGTGCAATGAAATCATAATTAATTATTACGTTTGACTAATCTTTGAGATGCCTTCATCATGCAAAGATTGCATTTTTATTTACAATATTTTTATATTATTTTTATTTATTTTAACATTTGAAGCCTAAAAGGGTGGTACTTATTTGAATGGGGTGCCTATTTGGGGGGCGGAGGGAGGAGAGGGGGGTTAATTTGAGCATTTAGGGTAATTAGTGCCTTGGGGTTGTGTATCTTAAGCAATGCATTGATGTCTTGATTATTGTTTTTATTGCCCAACTTTATTGTCTCAGGAATTCTGTTTTGCTGCAGTGAATTCTTGAGAATTCAGCAATTCAGCAGGGGAATTTTGAGATTTAATTTTTGGTCCAGGGATTCTTTCAGTTGTAGTAGGGAGGACAATGGATTTTTGCTCTTATATTCCACTGGCCTTAAATCTATGGTACCCCCTCAGGCAATAAGATCATTATTTACCCCTGTAGCCTAGCTCTTTCTCTTGGGCAACACGGTC